CCAGACGACTACGGGAAACGAGGACAACTTTCGCTTCCGATCACAGCCTATCAAAATCAGGTAAAACACCCCCCTTGCTCCCCAAAGGTGCCAATCCTTAATAAGGAGCAGGGGGACGAGTTCTTAAAGCGGAAAGTCCCCTTTTGTGTGGAGCTCCGCTTTAAGTCACACAGAGAATGTCTGTGGGGAACCCGTATGAGCTATCCCCTGCACAAATACCTTCAGAGAGTGAGATATCAATGGCCATTGAAAAATAGTTAAGGCTAAAATTTGGCCCTTGACCGTACTCCGGGCCAACCGCTGATTCAGTTCCAACTGCAGAGCAGGATATGTCCCATAGAGTAGTAGCAAGTCTAACCTTCCGCTGTTTACACCAGGCAAAATAAGCCTTCCAGGTGCAGTGAAAGACTTTTCTAGAAGTCAGTTTTCTGGCACTCAATGTTACTAAACCCAGGACCCTGCATTCACTATAGCTGTTTTCCAACAGTACACAGAAAACAGAAATGCAACAATTTTAGTAAACAAACTGCAAAATTCCTCTCTCATCAGCAGTTGGAGCAGTCGAGTTCAGCAGTGGTTATGGCTTGTGGGAGGAGTTCTTTCTGCTCTAGGATACAGAACCCCTGACTGTCTGAACAGTGCTGACTGGTCGTGTGCTGATCACATGCACTTGCCAAAGAAAAAAAAAAAAAAAAACACACCAAACTGAGCATGTGCAGAAAGTCTACACGTGATATGTTTTATCAGAGATAAGAGGGGGACACTGGAAGAAAGGGAGGATCAGAGAAGTCAAGACCAAACAGCATTTTTACACAATGCAGAGGGTTAACCCCTTAGGTTCCACAGTGAGTATATCAAGCATGCTTTAATGCATATACAGACTGATTTTACTGTTGTGGTTTTAGTAACACTTTAAAAGCTTCAGGGTGACTGAATTTGCCAGGCCTCCATCACTCAGGACTTGAGCTTCAACAGTCAAGCCATCAAAGTCAGCGACTAAGAAACAGGATGCAACACCAGACTCACAGACTGTAGATCTGGATGGTCTGGTAATGGCCATGGAACATCTGCCAGAGATTAGGGTATATCCATGTTTGGGGCCATGAGCATCACTGGAATTCCTTTAAGTGATCCCACAGGGTCACAACTGCATTCACATCAAAAGGGCAAACACCCTTGGCGAGGGGGATCTTCAGGGACTGGGTCACGCCAGCTTGGATCATCTCTGCCCAGGACCTGTAGAGCACCGTGGCTAACCCAAGGTGCTGCACTAAGTGCCAAGGTAGGTACCTAAACGCAGGACTCCGCACCAAAAGCAATCTCTTCCCCAATAGGGTCCAGGTATGATCCCTGAGGTTCCCCCTGTGGAACACCAATCTGAAAACTGCACAAGATGCTGCTAAGGCCACAGTGCATTGAGGAAAGCTGGTTGAAGAAATATAGTAAAATGTAACACTGGTAGCAAGTAAACACCTTAAAGGACAGATTCACCTTTCATAACATGTTACAAATGGACCAGCCCCCGTAACCCCTGATGTGACAGCTCGTGGGGAATCCTCTCCCGCTTTCGGTCACCATTTAAAAAAACACGCCCATGCGGGGCTCCGCCCACATCACTTATTCTGTGAATGAAAACACTACAAGTTCTGTCAGCCTTTGCAGCTTTGGTTTGTGGTTGCTGTGGTAGTTCAGAGTCTTCCTGTGCATATGTATCTGCTTGCCTGTACGATGTACAGGCACACAGATCCACTGACAGGTCTACAGGATCTGCAATCTGCTGATCTCTGGTGCAATGTTTTAGAGGCTGCAGAAACAAAAAAAATATCAGCACATTTTTTTTTAACCTGCAAAAAAAGTGCATTTATTTATTTTGTGTTAAAAGGTGAACTTATCCTTTAAGACACAACCAAATAACTGGGTATTGTGGAGCATGGGAGGGGGTCCTCACAGCTTATTTATTTTTGGCAGTGTCCAATCACCTGATGGTACCTTACTATAACCCAGTCATTTGTGAATCTGCTTGTGTACTGTAGAATCAAGAAATAACCTTTGTGTGGAGATACAAAAAAATAGCAAGCACTGGCTTGTATGGGCATACATTTTTTTTTTTTTTTATCTGTGTGCAACCAGACTAACTCATCAGTGCATTATAGCTTAGGAGATCTGAATCAAAGGCAACTTACCCTGCTCTGCTTCTGCATAAGCTATACTGTCAAAAACTATTAGGTCAAAGAGGGCTAGGACACATATTTAGCTTGCAGCAATGTCAGGGAATTCATTTGCTAGATGTAGACCAAACCAACCAATATGATACTAGGATTCTTAATTCAGGCCAGCTGAACTACAAGCAGACGTAAATGTAGACCAAACCAACCAATATGATACCAGGATTCTTAAATCAGGCCAGCTGAACTACAAGCAGACACAAAATTAATACAGCTAGGAATTTATTTATAAATTATTAAATGTATTTTTTCACTTCAACTAGTATAAGTACCTGAATTTGGCTTGGCATTAGTCTCTTGCAGTCCCCGTTATAGTAACTCTCAGGATGGGGAAGGAGAGGCAGCTCTAGTAGTCAATTAGACTTGCTGTATGCAAAAGTGCTAATGAGGAGCAAGTTGGCAGGAAGAGAGAGCATAGGGATGAATGATGCACCTTCACGGTCGAATCACTGGATGGACATGTCACCACTGTATTCATTAACTTTAAGAAACTGGAATCATCCTCCTGGCTGTGTTGTATGGAAGGAAATTGTAAATCTAAGGACTAAAAATTGACAGAAATGGAAATCTATTGGCAGGCAAAATAGCTCCATAAACTATTTATCTGGGTATTTGGATGTTTGCATGTTGCTTCACACTAAAGGAAATTTGTCATGTTAACCACCTCAAGTAAAAATAGGGCCTCATATTGAGGTGGTTATACCGTGATCATGGTTGAGGCTGCAACTATTATCCCCGTACGTTTTATTTTTTCCTCCTTTTTAGAGCCAGTGGGGTTCTCTTTCAAGTAACAGTTTTTCAAGCGGCTATACAGCTGCTGGATCCTTTTTAACAGGTGGTGGAATGGAGTTCCCTGCCCCCCCCCCCCCCCCCCCACCACCTACCTTTAGTCCCATCAGGAAGCGCAGTAATGATGCAACCAGGTTGTATTTACTGAGAAGAGTAGCAGAAATGAAAGTTTCTGCCTCTTTTCTGTGAAGTCGGAAACTGGAAGCAACAAGGTGAACGGTTTGCTTTGGAAGCCAGAAGAGAGGACCAGTCATAGCCCATGCTATCACAAGGGATGTTCTCCATCCTTGTGATAGCAAAAAATTTGACCAAAAAAAAAAAAAAAAAATAAAATTTACAGTCCACAAAATTTTTTTATAAATAATAAAAATAAATACTCCATGCTCACGCACAAATGCGAACATATATGATCATTAGAACAAGAGCAATCATTTTAGTACCAGACCACCTGTGTAACTTTAAACTGGTAACCTGTAAAAGGCTTTTAAAAAGTCGCCTATTGATAATTTCACGTACCGTAGTTTGTCGCCATTCTATGGGGGCACGCAATTTTAAAGCATGACATCTTTTACATCAAAATGGATATTATTTTGTGTTTGTGTGCACCAATATTCATTAACGTGATTTCTTTCCCCAAAAAAACTTGGGATTGAAAAACTGCTGTAAAAAATATTGTGTTCCATAAAGAAAAAACAAAACACTAAAAATTTTATTCTCTAAGGCCTCTTCTGCTTATATGATATATATTTAATGTTTAGGGGTTCTAAGTAATTTTCTAGCAAAAAAAAAAAAAAAAAATGTATGTCAGAATTGGTTAAACTGGCATAGGCTAGCATTGCGACGTCCTTCTGAAAATGCTAGTCAAATCGCTGTCATTCTAACCCCAAGCCTTTATTAGCAGAAGCCATGGTATAGAAAGTAGGTCAGGAGCCTGGACAGAGAAGTAGTCAGATTAACAGTATCACTCTGTACCCTACATATTTCAAAATATTAAGAAGCATGGACACAAAACGCTAAATAAGGGCTCAGTGATAAAGGCTGCCACTGTCGTAAAATCAAGTAGGGAGCAGTGTTCAATATGGATGCAAATGCATTCGTGAACAGAGGAAAGGCAATACTCAGAATTTAAGAAATTTCATATTACGCCAAACCGTTGACATTTTACTATAAAATAAGCCTAGAAGACAAAATGAAAACACAAAATAAACTTCCAGAAATTACTAAGAAACTCATGTTTTGGCAACTGTGATTGTAGTAGAGTGGCCAAACACTAAGGGTAAGAGAAAGGGAAAAAAAATGGCCACCTACTCCGAAAATTAAAAAAAAAAAAAAAAAAAAAAAAAAAAAAAAAAAAAAAAAGGTGCTTGGTTCAAGATGAGGTACGATTTAAATTTAATGACATACTTCACAGCACAAATCTCTTCTGATTGGCCAGACGCACAGATAGCTGGGAAGAATTGCTCAGAGTCCAGGGACACAAAATACGGCGTCAGCCTCTGGGACAAACAAGGGGTTAAATTAACCAGAGACTTGTACTCCAACCGAAGTGTAGAAACCAAGCATGATAACCGTTCATATCTTAGTACTGCACAAAATGGATGCCTGTCACATGAAAGATTATGTAAGCATTTCAGAACCAGAGGCGAAACATGGCTGCAAAAAAGATTTGACTGAAAAATTCACATTTAACAAAAAAAAAAAAAATTGGAAAAAAACAATACTACTACATTAAAGAGAAGCAGAGGTCTCTCCTTAAAACTCATGATACTGCATTTTACAACTATCTTGTAACATTTTCTAAACCGGCCTGTAATGGAACCACAAAGCCAGTTCCACAGAGCTGGTGGTGTGCGAGAGATGGTTCATAATACAGCTGGCTGGGAGGATACAAGATGGAGGTGGTTGTGCCAAGGAGATGTGAAGGGGAAGAGATGTTGAACAAGACTCATCCAGAATATTCTAAAAAGACTCCAGGCACCAGTAATACTACCACTCCTTTTTCTTTTCGTCCATGGACACCCCACCAGGCCCCAAGGCCACCACCAGTAGCAGTCCGCCGATGACCGACATGGTCTGAAAGAAATCGTATTTTAGGAAGTCATGCATGGGCTTGTAGGCAGGGATGTTCCAAAAGGCGTTGAAGTAGACGTTAATGGCGAAGAGCCACACCACCAAAGTCAGAGCAGCCAACTTTGTCTTGAAGCCAATGGCCACCAGGATGATGAGAGCCGTACCAACGATGTTCTGTAGGATCTGTAGGATGAAAAAAAAAAATAAATAAAAAATGTTGGTTTTACTATTTGACCTCCAGAAGGTTTTACCTGTCATGGCCAGGGCATTTTTTTTTTTTTTTTTTTTTACTATTGAGCACTGTGCTACTTTAACTGGCAATTGCTCAGTCATGCAACACTATACCTGAATTAAATTTATATAATTTTCTTCACACAAATAGAGCTTTATTTTGGTGGTAGTTTATCACCGTTTAGGTATATTTTATTATACAAAACAAAAAAAGCTGAAAGTTTAGAGAAAAAAAAAAAAAAAAGCGCAATATTTTCAACTATAGATTATAAAATATATCCAATAAAAAAAAAAAAAAAAAAAAATCTAATTTCTTAATACATTGAGACCAAAAGGTATTCTGCTACGTCTTTTTAATATATATATATATATATATATATATATATATATATATATATATTAAAAAAAAAAAAAGGTGGTGTGTACTAATTGGTTTGTGCAAAAGTTATAGTGTCTACAAACTATAGTATATACAATGGAATTTCCGCAGCTATGACACTACACTGGCAATGGCAGTGATCAGTGACTTATAGTGGGACTGTGATAGTGTGGCGGGCAATCCTGACACTAAGAGACCTTCGCTAGGAGGTACCCTGACTGACACCAAAAGTGACATTGATACATCAAATATTGTACACAGTCACTGTACTAATGACACTGGCTGGAACAGGGTTAACATCTAGGGGCAATCAAGATATTAACTATGTGCCTAACAAGTGTAATGTGTGCTGCTTTTACTAACAGATCTGGCTGTTTTTTCTCCCTTGCTTTGCAGGGAGAAGAAACAGCCAGATCGCTGCTCTGTGTACAGAGTCCTCTGTTTGTAAATACAGATCTCTGTGCTGTGATTGGGCATAGCCAATTGACAAGTCTCTGCCATAAATCATTGGCTGACACTGGATGACAAAAATCACGCTATGACCAAGCAGTAAGTGGTTAATGTAGCATCAGATGTTCATTACTAGACAAACAAACAGGCCACAGACCAGCATACTTAACCACTTGCCTACCGGGCACTTATACCCCCTTCTTTACTAGGCCAATATTCAGCTTTCAGCGCTGTCGCACTTTGACAATTGCGCGGTCATGCAATATTGTACCCATGAAATTTTTAGCATTTTTTTCTCACAAATAGAGCTTTTTGGTGGTATTTAATCGCCACTGGGCACTTTATTTTTTGCACTATAAACAAAAAAAGTGCAAAAAATTTGTAAAAAAAAAAAAAAAAAAAAGTTTCTTTGTTTCTATTATAAAATTTTTCAAACAGGTAATTTTTTTCCTTCATTGATGTGTGTTGATGAGGAAGCACTGATGGGCACTGACGGGCGCAACTGCTGGGCACTGATTGGCAGCACTGCTGGGCACAGGTGGGTGGCACTGCTGGGGGCGGCACTGCTGGGCACCAATCATCAGGGCACTGATCAGTGTCCTGATGATCGGTGCCGATCCCTGCTCTGACAACTGCCAGTTCTCGGCAGTACTTTCCTCACGATCTGACAGCGTGAGGAAAGTGCAGCCAAGAATCGGCAATTGCATTTCCCGGTGATCAGCATGTCATTGGACACGGCTGATCACGTGGTAAAAGGCCGCTGTGATTGGCCTTTTACCACATCCCGTGATCAGCTGTGTCCGTAGGACACATCAATCATAGAGATCGCCGGGGGTGCGCAGGAAAGCGCATTCTGGGAGGACATCATATGACGCCCTCCCAGAACTGGCCAGCCGCAGTGTAGACGTCATTCGGCTATCTGCGGTTGGCAAGTAGTTAATGATACAATCATATACTCATCCCTTCTAAATTAAAGGGGAGCTGTCAGAAGAAAAATGGGAGAAGATATTGCTGGCTCAGTTTTTTGTGCAGGATCTGTGGCAATCAGTAACTCATTATCATTTACCTTCTGATTTAGATTGAAAACAAAAAGTGCATATCCTGAAATCTGAAAGATTCGAACACAGTTCTGTGACATTTTTTCTAAAATAGAAGGAAAGTGGGTGGTTTTCAAATACTTACAGAGACGAAGCTTGCGTCAAAGTGGAGAAGGGTCATGAACATGAGGACAAGCAGTACACGGCCCCCTAGCTGCATGTACTGCTTAGGAGAGCTCTCCCCCATGGTGGGCACACCTGCAAACATGCTTTTTCCTTCAGATCGAGACTCCGCCAGAAGAAGCAGTAACCCTCCACCCAGAGCCAAGTTCCTAGAAAAAGAAACCCACAATTGTGTCATTAGAAAAATACACTTCCCTGACAAACGCTGCACTGCACCAACTCTCCTCTTCTCAAATACTCTGTACTGTTGAAGGATCCTGATTCTTCTGCCAGCTAAGCTCTCCCTAAATTTTCTAGGTTATAGGACTCTGTAAAGTGAGGAAAGTTGGATAGTGGAAGCAGCAGAGTACCCTGTCTAACTCTCCTCTCCTGAAACACTGCTGAAGGACTCTGCTGCTTCCACTAGCTTACCCAGCCTGTCACTTCTCCTGTCATGATGCTTCCCCATCCCATATGGATTTTAAGAACATCTGTACCGAGAGAAACATGTACACAGCCAAAATGCTTTAGTCCTTGCTGTATCCGGCTCTAAAATTTAGAAATTAGTGGCCTGAAACAAGTATGTGAACTCTGACCTTCTAAATGGTACACTTTTTTGGTAAGGATCATTAACCACTTCCAGTCCGGACACTTTTACCCCCTTCCTGTCCAGGCCAATTTTCAGCTTTCAGCGCTATCACACTTTGAATGACAATTGCGCGGTCATGCAACACTGTACCCATATGAATTTTTTTAGCATTTTTTGGAGACAGATAAAGCTTTATTTTAGTGGTATTTATTCACCACTGGGATTTTTATTTTTTTTCCAGGTGAGTTATACCCTTTTTTCAGGACAAATTGGACTTCCATTTGGTGATAAATGGTCATGGATATCTGATTTTTCTTCTTGTTTTTAAATTTAGCTGTGTGTTTCTTGTTACTACCATAATCTACCAGCAAAAAAAAAAAAAAAAAAAAAACAACCCAAAATAAAAATTTTCCAGCTCTTGATGATCGCAGCGATACCATATATGTGTGTTATTTGTACCTGTACTACAGCCCAGAAACAATAGTGCACATTTTGTTTTTCTTACCTAAAACACAGACACGAATAACAATTTAAAATGGGGGGGGGGATCCTGACCTTTGACCTTGACCCAAACACTAACCCTGGCACTGAACTAGGTCAAACCTTGATCTAGGTATTTAATGTTTATCTTTTTTTTTTTTTTTTTTTTTTTTTTACAAACAGATTTTTTTTCTCTCTGCAAGGAGAAAGATCCAATGCATCTCTCGCCTCCATTCAGAGAAAAAAAAAAAACACACACACACACACACACACTCTGATCTGATCACTGTGATCAGTCAAAAATCTGACTGATCACTGTGATAGCCTCTGATTGGCTATCACAGCGATCATGTGACCCGAAATCAGGAGTGTAGGGCCCTGATCGGTAGAACAGGACCTGGGGCTCTCAGTGACACCCCGGTCTTTGTGCTGGAAGCGCGCTGTGCGGAGTGCTCCCAGCACAGAGACAGGTACGCAAATATGCAGCCCCACGGAAAAAAGCCCAGTTCTGTGAGGCCGCATATTTGGGTGACATCAACATGAAGGGTGTGAGCTTACCAAGGCCCAGCAAGGAAGGCATTTTTTCAGTACACAGCTCACTTCCTATTTGTAATCCCATAACAGAAATCTGCCAATTGTCTCAGGAAAGCCTCCTTTAGCCAAAAATAGCAGCTGACACACAATGCATTTAAAACATACAGGAAAGTGAAATCTCATTTTCTATATTTGTGTTGGCACTTCTGCATATATAGCTCTGAATTCTTTACAGTAACGTTTTGTTTTAGGTTGACAGGTCCTTTAAATAGTTTGGTGGTTCAGGTTACAGGGCAACCTCAAAGACTTTTTTCGGACATTACATGAGCACCAAACCCACATATGAGTACATATGAACCAGTGTGTGCCCCAGGGTCAGAGGTGACAGCATTTGGAAACAGTTATCCAACTCAAATATCAGGGCAAGTTCATCCTCATGCAAATTTAAATAGAAAACAAGCTATTTTAAAAAGTGCACCTGCAGCAGCAAAACCTATACATAGGATTTTTTTAAACCTGCCTCAAGCATTTTTAGGTAGGAAGCTTTAACATTTGGCACATGTGAAGTGAATCATTGAGGGAAAAAAAAAAAAAAAAAAAAAAATCACACCAGGCAATTTCAAAAATTTCAGGTACACGGTCCTGGAGCTTTCATCAGAAAGCTGGAAATTGACTAGCATGCTTGCTTCATGTAGTCAGAAGGCAGAAAGAAGTGAAAAGAACTGGCAGGATCATCAGAGAAGAAGAGAAGAAGACGACACAAAGAAAACCATAGTATGCTTATAAAAGTTAATATACTGTAAATGTGTGTTTTCATCATTAGGTTTTACATACCCTTTAAAGCCAGTAAAATCAATAAAATCTTTATAATGAAAGGCCTAATGGCAACTAAAATCAACCATGCAGTGGGTGAACCTATTCCGTAAACTGGGAGTGGAAGTACTTAGTTGGGCTTACAAGAGGATGAGAGTGCTGTGTGGGCGCCACCAGTGGGCTGATGTCACTAGTAGTCCAAATAGCAGACAGGAGGCAGAGTAATGATACAATCTGCAGAAGTGCAGTGTCTGAAAAATGTCACCTTTCTCCATTGCAATTATGTAACAAAAGCAAGGAAGGGACAGCACTATACAGCAGAAAAAAACATTTTTGTTTAGGAAATCTCCAAAATCTTACCTCATTAAAAACTTTAGGTCCCACAAGATACTGTATGCAATAGTCTGAAATAAAACCACGTTACAAATTAAAACTAGGAACACAGAACACAAATATACATATTTTTATATATTTATTACCACATACAAACACGAAGAGAGAGAACGAGCGCACACACGAAAGAGAAAAAAAACAAAACATTTTTTATATATAGATTATTCATCACATAGCTGCTTCGCTCCCACCTTCCTGCTAGGTAGCGGTTAAACAATAGGAACATGCTGCTGTTTATGTAATCAGATGTATTATTGACAATAGAGGAAGCATAAAGTAAATGAAGGACACACACACACACAGAAAATGTCCACATTTTTCACACAGCTGCTCTCATACTTTTATGTTTTTTTCAAATGCAACCAGACTACAAGACATACAATATATAGGATTATTGGGTTCCTGAAGAAGGGAAATCAATCTCACCTGCATTGCTATTATTCCAAACAAGCCAAAGCAGGCATATTGTACAAAGTTCCGACTAAGGACCAGGATGCAACCACCTGCAAACAATAGGAGGCCATCAGAGAAGGACTATCCCTCATGCTAACAATTATATACCTGTTACTATCTGGGCATAAATGAACATGTAATCCATTGTGTGTTGGGCGAATGCAACTTCATAATTCCAGCTTTCCTATCGACTTAAATAGTTCATTGGGCCAAGTAGGCCAAAACAAAACCATTTGCATTACATAATGTAGCCATTGTGTGCGTTGTAACACACTGTTGTAACATTACCTACATAAATGATCCCGACGTGGTGTTTCAGACTTCCCTTCAGCTGACAGAATTAAAAAGAGCCAGGCTGAGTGCTTCTTTGCCATTCAGGAAAAGAATTGTATTTTTTATCAATGAATACAAGACTTCCTCTGATGGGCTGAGGTGCAAAAGCATGCAGATGACATCACAATTTCCACCTCAGCCAATAGGAGGAACCCTTTTATTCATTGAGAAAAATAAAAGGCTTTACCACCCAAAACAAATCCATGAATGAAACACATCAGCTCTTCCGAAGGATCTGATCTAGACTTTATGAGATGATGCAAATAGAATCTTTTCTTAGATCTCTTCTTGGTGATTACCAGAAAGCCAAAGTGCTCACTCCTTTAGAAACATTCTGCATAAACACATTGCCCGTTTGACATGCAGTTTCTCAGTCTTAATCGTTGACTTGGAAGGAGCATACTAAAGACCCCAATTCATTACAAAAATGGGAGCAGAAACTACATGGAACCTTTTCCCAGGCCCAAAAAGAATTAAATTCTTTTTGCTCACAAGACCTCATTGGTGAACACAAGAAAACTGACACAAAATGCTGGCTAGGTGGTATAAAACACCCCAAGTACTGCATAAAATTAACCCTAAAATGTCAACTCTTTGCTGGAGATGCTAGAAACTGGAAGGACCACTCCTATATATTCTCTGGGACTGCCCTGTATTGACAGGGGTTGATAATGCCATCAAAACTGACCAGGTGGTCTCTTGCAGTCAAACCAGCCACCTATCACCTCCATGATATGCATTCAAATGATATAAGAACTCACTTATTAAATGTTTCCTAAAACACTGCCAAGGCCTGTAGTCCTACTATGTAGAACAAGCCAGGACCACCTAACTTAGAGCAATGGAATGCTATTTTTCAGTTAGACAAGCTGTGAGTTGTTCCATCACTTGTATAAGTAACAATCAGAAAAAGAGTTTCAAAATTTGGAGCCCTGGCTGATATAGAAGGACTCTCTAACTTCCAATCTCACGGTTCCAGAGAGTTGAGAAAATTAATATTGCGTTTCTCTCCCTTGCTTCAGAGGGAGGCAGCTCCTACTTATCCCCCTTCACCCTTCTCATCTGCCTACTCTATTTTTTCAGCTGTGCTCAAAATAATAGTCTAACATCACTAACCAGATCACTTTTTTTTTCAAAAATTATATTTCTACATGGCAAATAATTTACTAGTAGGCATAGTAGAGTAATAGAAAACCAACACACCCAACAGTCATGACATGAATGCTGCTGATTCTGTGTAATTGAATCACTAATTGAAAGGGGCATGTTCAAAATAATAGGAGTGTGGAGTTCTATTAGTGAGGTCATTCATTCTTTGAAAAACAGGTGGCAATTATTGCCCTTATTTAAGGAAGGAAGGCAGCAAATGTTGTACATGCTGGTTACAGTGCATTTCTCTCTGAAATTCTGAGGAAAATGGGTTGTTCCAGACATTGTTCAGAAGAACAGTACCTTGATTAAAAAGTTGATTGGAGAGGGGAAAACATAAAAAGTGCAGAAAATGATAGGCTGCTCAGCTAAAATGATCTCAAATGCTTTAAAATGGCAACCCAAACCAGAAAGACGCAGAAGAGAATGGAAAACAACCATTCAAATTAATCAAATAGCCAAAATGGCAAGGACTCAGCCAATGATCAGCTCCAGGTCTAAAAAGTTACCTGTTAGTATGGTAACAATTAGAAGACGCCAATGTGAAGCCAAGTTATCGGCAAGAAGCGTTACTCTTTTCTTTTATCCTATTTTCTACCTTTTCCCCATAAAAATTAAGAAAAAAAACAACCATGACACAGAAGACTTCGTTCAATTTTGTTCAGCCATACTGCTTACGAAATACATTCCTTCTGTGAATCTACACTTGCTTTGAAACACCTGGATATTCACCCTGTCTTTCTTTTTAGTGGAAATAAAGAATTTATTTAAAAAAATACAAGGCTTCTCCTGAATGGCAGAGAAGCACTCAGCCCAAGTCACAAAATTCCAGCAGCAGAAGGGAAGGTGCCCATACCGTGATTGGAACACAACGCAGCACACTATGTAGCTAATGCTAAAACAGTTTGTTACAGCACACACAATGGCCGCATCATCATGTAAATAAATTTGTTTGGGTCATCTTGACCCAAAGAACTATTTAAAGTGATATGAAAGCTGAAATTCTACTAACGGTCACCTAAAAGTAATTTGTGATCCAGCTTTCACATCTGAACTACACAGCTTCATTACCATATTTCACATACTTCTAGTGCCTATCTAGATCAGTCAAGTGTAGTCAGTTACCAGGTCATCACAGCGATCAGGTTACTTCAGCAGGAAAAAGCAAATTCAGCAAGTGCCAAATGCAGCATGTTGTGACACACCATGTGGGTATGAACAGGTCCTGCCAAAAACACCAAATTTTGTAACACATAAATTTTGCCAGTGCTGGAAAAATAGGATTTTTACTTGCCTGTTAAATCATTTTCTAGGTATTAATTTACAAAAATATAGGATCCTTGTACATAACCATGTTCTATTAGGCAGCTACCTTCAGGAGACAGGACACTGCATAGACATCAATTATATAGCCTCTCCCCTTTCCAGCAAGCAATAGTGGGGGTCAATACAGAACGAAAGGGGCCTGTGTCTTGTACTGTACTCCAAGCAAAGGATTTTACAGGAAAGTAAAAAATATACCATTTCTTTTTTACCAGCCACAAGATCGTTAAATGATCGGTACACAACACAGCAAAAAAAAAAAAAAAAAAAAATGCTAACAGGGGTAAGGCAAGGCTCCCCAGGGTTCAGGGAACAACTTGAAGCACCTGATGCCCCCAAAATAAATATTAGATGAGGCCTGTGATGTGAACAGCAGCTAGGGCAGGAATGATGTAGGCTACTGCTGTGGCAATGTTAGACTGGATTCTGGTTGAGTGATCTTGCAGCTGAGAAGTCCAGCACTGGATGGGCAGCTGAAAGGCCCTCATTTCCAAGACAATAATGGCAAAACAGAGTATCCTCTGATGGCCAAGTTCATTGCACAGAGAGGGCATCAAGAACTCCACATCAGGCTGAGGTGGAGTCCTGGTTTCCCTTGACCGAAGTATTGGATGGGAGAACCACCAGGCCAAGGAGAGTCTGGCCTTGGAGGTGCTCCAACAGTAACATCTGCCAACTCTGTTCTTGTCCACTAGGTACCCGCCCACCTTTGTATGTGCTAGCACCTTCTCCCACATTCTCCGAAATATAAAATACAAAATATAAATATAAAATAACTACAAATCCAGCAGGGGTGGTGGGAACCTACTGGTCTCAACAAGTGTGCAGTCCCTAGGGGAATTAACCGTATTGAGAAAGCCCCGAGTCAAAAAAAAAAAAAAAGCGCACATACATGTACTCGAGCCCCAAGTGTGCACATCCATTGATCACTTTCTACCCAATAAAAAAAGCTCCTCCTTCCCAACATGGAAACCTGCAACCATTTCGTTAAGCTCCAACAACATTGAAGAAAATCAGACTTACCCAATTGCCCCAACAAGTTAACAAGGACGAAAATGGTGGCTAGGAAGTAGCCACAGCTCCAGGTGGCTTCGATGTAATCTCTCTGTTCGCTCCACTGAAACCACATGCGGATGCCATCTTCCAGGAACGTGCTGATGAGGCAAAGACGTGCAACATGTGGCAGATACTGCTTCGTAACCCGTAAAAACTGCAGACAAAAAAGGCAAGTGATACAGGACACATTAGGCTTAGTTTAGTGATTATTGTAGTGCTATCTAAAAAAAATTGCTGCCTCCCTCACAGCCTATTTTGCGCAGGTCACAGATGTCCCACACCCCCTAAAGAACACCCATCATGCAATACTTCTGAGAAAAGAATAAAAAAAAAAAAAAGTGGTATCTGTAGCGAAAATAGCCACACTATGCATTCTGCATCAGCCTTTTATAAGTCACATTACTTTATACATTTAAAAAAAATAAATAAAAAATTGAGATGGTCTCTGAATGTTAGGTGAACAATTTTCACCCAACGTGCAGTCATGTTCCTAGTCTCTGCACCAACATGAGCTGGGCTGTCAATTAGCATAATAAGGCAGGGTGGTGGACAGACATGTAGCTTGTGAGGATACAAGGAATCAAACGGTGAATTAGAGGCTCTCTCAATGCTAGAAATGTAAGCAAAGGTGTTAAGTGGCTATATTTAGTGACTGGAGAATTCCATCTTTCTTGGATTATTCACCAGCAAAGCAACATTGAAGACACAGCTGAGAAGACGGTCAATACATAGTTTACCAATGGGTTAGCCAAACACTGATTGCACTTTTGGTTCCCCCAACCCCCGCCCCCCCCCCCCCCCCCAATAGAACTGGAGAGGTTAGATTAGTGAAAAACAAAATCTAATGCAACAAGCTTTTCTTTGCAATTACAGTACCTCAAAGGCATTCAACACCTTTTAAAAACACACCACAACCATGCACATTCATCCCTACTAAATCCGTCTTTCAGAAGAGGAGGAATATGAATAGCAGGACAGCAAAAACAAATGATCTAAAAAGGCGCTCAGGGAGCGCTTGGAGAGACAACTTAAAGCTGAGCTCCAGGAAAATTACATACCTACACTTGAAGTAGGGGGTCCCCCACACTGCAATGGTTAAAATGTTCATATTTGTCTAGGGTAACCTACAAAACAAGGCGTTTTACTTACAGTGCCTTGAGAATTATTCGCTCCCCTTGGCGGTTTCCTGTTTTATTGCAATACATCTTGATATTAAAAAGGATTTCTTGGCTTTGTGCCATGTGATATACACAACATGCCTATGACTTTTGCTGCTTAAAAAAAAATGCTGAGTTTGCCTAGATATTCCCTTCTTCCCCCCCACCCCCTCAAAAAAAGTCAATACTTCGTAGAACCAGTTGCTGCAATTAAAGCTGCAAGCCTCTTAGGGCAGGGGTGGCCAACTGTGGCCCTTCAGCTGTTGTAGAACTTCCCATGAGGCACTGCAAAACTGACAGTTACAAGCATGACTCCCAAAGGCAGAGGCATGATGGGACTTGTAGTTCACCAACAGCTGGAGGGCCACAGTTGCCCACCCCTGTCTTAGGCTATTTCTATTAGCTTAGCACAGTGGTGGCGAACCCGTGGCACGCGTGCCACAGCCGGCACGCCGAGCCTTATCTGTGGGCACGCCAGGAGAATCCTGTCTTCCCGGCTGTAGTGTGCGTGACAGCCGGGTCCCAAGTGCGCATGCACAAGAAGCAGTGCTCCTTGTGAATGGTAAGGCTGGTACCTGGGACACATGACAGATCCCAGAAGCCGCCGGCCCAATCAAAGCGCAGCGCTTCTCGCGCATGCGCACTGGGCATCCGGCTGTCCGACGAGCGCCCACACTACAGAAGCCGGGAAGACAGCGCGCGGCTGGATCGAGGAACAGGTAAGATAAAAAAAAAAAACTCTGCGGAAGTAAAAGCGGGTACCTGTCAAATTCAGGTACCCGCTCCCCTCCCTCCCCAAAGGTCAGCAGTCATCCCTGCGCTGTGTCCCCAGTCTTGGTCATCCCTGCGCTGGTCCCCAGTCTCTGGTCATCCCTGCGCTGTGTCCCCAGTCTCTGGTCATCCCTGCGCTGTGTCCCCAGTCTCTGGTCATCCCTGCGCTGTGTCCCCAGTCTCTGGCATCCCTGCGCTGTGTCCCCAGTCTCTGGTCATCCCTGCGCTGTGTCCCCAGTCTCTGGTCATCCCTGCGCTGTGTCCCCAGTCTCTGGTCATCCCTGCGCTGTGTCCCCAGTCTCTGGTCATCCCTGCGCTGTGTCCCCAGTCTCTCATCCCTGCGCTGTGTCCGCAGTCTCTGGTCATCCCTGCGCTGTGTCCGCAGTCTCTGGTCATCCCTGCGCTGTGTCCGCAGTCTCTGGTCAACTGTGTCCCCAGTCTCTGGTCATCCCTGTACTGTGTCCCCAGTCTCTGGTCATCCCTGCGCTGTGTCCCCAGTCTCTGGTCATCCCTGCGCTGTGTCCGCAGTCTCTGGTCATCCCTGCGCTGTGTCCGCAGTCTCTGGTCAAAGTGTCCGCAGTCTCTGGTCATCCCTGCACTGTGTCCGCAGTCTCTGGTCATCCCTGCACTGTGTCCGCAGTCTCTGGTCATCCCTGCACTGTGTCCGCAGTCTCTGGTCATCCCTGTACTGTGTCCGCAGTCTCTGGTGCCCTGTACTGTGTCCGCAGTCTCTGGTCATCCCTGTTGTGTCCGCAGTCTCTGGTCATCCCTGTACTGTGTCCGCAGTCTCTGGTCATCCCTGTACTGTGTCCGCATCTGGTCATCCCTGTACTGTTAATTAGTTTGCACTACTGTACGAGTTGTTTTTTCTAAACCAAAAGCTCGATATTCAGGTTTCATTGCAGTGTTGGCACTTTGAAAGAAATAAGTTGGTTTTGGGTTGCAGTTTGGGCACTCGGGCTCAAAAAGGTTCGCCATCACTGGCTTAGCACATCAAGTCACTGGGATTTTTGACCATTCATCAAGGCAATACTGTTCCAGCTTCCTTGATATAAATGGGTTGCATTTGTGTACAGCAATCTTTAAGGCAAGCCACAGATCTTTGAACAGAGATCTGGGCTTTGACTAGGCCATTTCAAGACTTTTACTGTAAATGTTTTCCTTCAAACCACTTCAGTGTACCTTTACCAGTATGTTTAGGATCACTATCCTGCAGTAAGGTCCTCCATCCCAGTAGGGTTGCACCAATATCGCTTTTTTTTTTTGTTTTATTGGCGAGTCCGAGTACCGATACTTGTGCTCAAGTATTAACAGATACCTTTGCAGTGTGATTTGAGCCCATTCATTTGTATGGGCTCAAATCGCACTGTAAAGAATCGCATGCAATTTGAACAGGAATGCGGTGTAATTCCTGTCCGAACTGGTTTCAGGTATCAGAGCATTTGCACAAGTACTAATGCAAAAGCTTAGTATTGGCACTGATACGAATATTGGTATCGGTGCTACTCTACATTCCAGGATCAAATCTCTGGCAGACTGAAACAGGTTTTCAAGTCTCTGGAAAGTCTCCCAACTACCGTTTGACAAACTCCAAATGTGTATTCTTATTTTATTTTTTTTAAGCAATAGTTTTTTTTTTTCTAGACACTTCCATAAAGACCCACTCTGTGGATCTTACAAAAGGGATTGTAAAGTTTAGATATCGCAGACACATTTTTGAGCACATAAATATATTCTGTTTATAAATCCATCTGTATATTTATAAAAAAAAAAAAAAAAAAAAAAAAAAAAACTTGGCAGTTACATGCTTTCCAGCTTGCAAAGGCAGGTCACGTGATCGCTGTTCATGTCAGAGTGATTCACAGCCTGGCAGGTGGTCGTGTTCAGAGCAGGGCACATCATTGTAGGAAGTTTACCACTTAGCATCCTCATTAGCAAGGTTTCACAATGAGAGGTGTGGAATGGCTGGCTTGGGAAGCTGTGGTCAGGTGGACAGGAAGGAGCAGTGGGAGGTGTGTCTTTGCACTGACCATGGAAGATACAGGCGCACTGTGCTCTGTGTGCCTGTATCTAACAGTGAGATGACAGAGGATGTAAACTGACCATGCAGCCATGGATCAACTGCCATCAGCAGGAGGAACACAAGAAGGATCAACCAGGTAATTAAAAAAGACAGCAGGGACTAAAACATTATTAACAGAAAAAAGCACATAGAAATCCATTAAAGAAACAGTGCAACACAATTTTTTTGGTTTACAAAACTTTAAAGTGGAACTATACTCAAAAAAAAAAAAAAAAAATTGAGCACAGCAGGCTTTTTAATGCACATGTGCTCTTCTGCAGCTTACCTTTTCACACATGCAGCTCAGTGTAAACTTTAAAATGTTAGCACCTACGGAGATAAATGAAATCCAAGGCATGCGCAGGAGTGACGTCAATCAAACCTGTCCAAGATCAAAACCTGGAAGTAGACCAGCCAAAGATGTCAGCGGCAGGCAGAGAGTGTCTAAACACATCACCAGGTTTTGTAGTCATACCCAGGGGCGGACTGACAACTCATGGGGCCCCCGGGCAACAGGGGATCATGGGGCCCCTGTGTCCTTGCCCAAACTCAAAAAAGCCTATGAAAAAAGGTACCAGGGGCATCTCATGGGGCCCCCTACTGAACCCGGGCCCTCGGGCAGTGCCCGAGTTTCCAAATGGTCAGTCCGCCCCTGGTCATACCATATTCTTTCCATTTTGTTACAATGGATTGGTGCTCTATGGGATGTTCAAAGTTTGGAATTTTTTTTTTTTTTTAACCCACCCTGGTCTATAATTCTCCACAGGTATGTCCCAGACCTGTTTGGAGAGCTCCTTGGTCTTTGTGTTGCTTGCTCAGTGGTGTTGCACTTGGGGCCTTTCAGAATAGGTATATTGCATTTATAACTTACAATATGGGGCTTATTTACTAAAGCTGGAGTGCGCAAAATCAGGCTCACTTCTGCACAGAAACCAACGAGCTTCCAACCTCAGCTTGTTCAATTAAGCTTTGGCAATAAATCCTGGAAGCTGCTTGGTTTATATACAGAAGTGAGTCAGATTTTGTACTCTCCAGCTTTAGTAAATAAACCCCCCAAATGACATTTTGATTGCACATAGGCGAACCTCCATTCGTCATCATTATTTCTGTGTCACAATAAAAACTGTTTTTGCACCTTCAAAGTCATAGGCATGTTGTGTACATTGCATAGTACAAAGCCCA